ATTTTAATGTTTGTGTTTTGGAGTGCGACGCCAGAGGCAAATACTTTTATACTGAATAGTAACAAGGATTCCCTGAATATTATTCTCTTCTAACAAATTCATGAATATAATTTTGATGAAGGAATTTATTTTTAAATATTTTTAACGAAACTTTAACAAGTCAACGTTGTTTTCCTGTAAACTAGCAAAGCTGTCCGTATTGAAGTGCAGAAGTTATTAGTCCATTAGCGTAGATTTAGGCTGCAGGACGTCACCGGCCCAATGACGAAACAGTTTAGCTATTTGCCGATAGATGTAAGTCTATGCGGATATTTTACATTCACTTTTAGATATTAATTCTGAAAGAGTTCATTCGATTTATGTTGGTATTTTTCGGTATCCAACGCCTAGCCCTGTGTCAGTTCTCTGATTTGACTGTATGAAATCTAGCAGAGCGAGAAATTCGGGACAACGCACCGAGTCGTCGACCTGGTACGTTGGTTTTGCTTGGAAATTGTTCAGTGTCTGAACAGTGCTCACTTGCCTGGGTATTGAAGGAAATAATTTGTTGCAATTTAAGATACTGAAGCCTGAAAATAGAGCGAGATAAAAAAGGTAAAATTTTCTCTCTACTTAACTAATTAAGCAATAGATACATGTTTCCTTGACCTCGGCACTAGCTGGAGGTGAGTGGTCAGCTTCACACTCCTGCCGCTTTACCCCCAAAGAAAGAGCCTCCGGTACCTATTTGATAAGAGGCTGGGTGGACCTGAGAGCCGGTGTGGATGAGGCGGAGAAGAAAAATTCTTGACCCTACCGGGACTCGAACTCCGACCTCTTCATCGTCCAGCCCGTAGCCAGTCGGTATACCGACTGCACTGTCTCGGGTTCTGATAATAGAGCGAGAAGCAGAGGAAAATAGAAACTGAAGGAGCGAATAATGAGAAACACTATGTAGGATTTGAAGTTCTTACCAGCGGTGATTATGACGAGCTCTATCTTCTGGGATACAAAGCCGTGTAAAGTAAGTAAAGCCATCCCTGTAACAGGCCGTGAAGGCCCATAGGCTTGTGAGACGTCGTGGGACCCACATCGTCTAGACAATCGGCTCAAAAATGGCGGTAAGATTGTCAGCCTTACGCGCCGGCCACGCCCAGGAAAATTATTTATTTAATTCCTGGCTGAGTGAACCCCAGGACCATAGTGCAGCCGGAAGGATTAGGTCAACTGAAAAAAATCCAATGACCTCATCGGTATTTAAACCCGCGACCTTCCTACTTGTAGCATAGTGCCTTAACCACTACGCTACCGCGTGCGTACAAAGCCGTGCAGTCCGATAAAAGTTAACGGACGTTTCGGAGGTACATGCCGCCCCCATCTTTAGTGTCAACTCATATGCTAGCAAGAAACTAACGTGGAACAGATAACAAGTATAGATGATTTTTTTACAGCCCTCGTCTTTAAGGTGAACGTAAGAAATTAGGAGAAGTATGGAAGGAAAAGCGGGGTAGTGGTTGCAGTTGTATTGTGGCAGAGAGAGAGAGACTAACTGTAACTAATTATAAACACCATTCAGTCCTTATTGCAAGTGGATTCAACCAAATCCACTGCGGATCCTGCTGAGAGACACGGACAGTACCGAAGCATAACTCTCGATAGAGAGGAGGATGCATCTGCTCTCATTTATTGGGATTCTAAATTAGTGATCGGTGTTCTGCCCATTGCGGAACGAATTTCATCATTCGGCTGCGGACAACGGCCACTGCGTTCTGTGCGGAAGATGAGATATTGATATGTACATTGCCAGTTCTAGCTGCCGTACATTAAAATTAAATTCCGCTTGAAATTCTTTCAAATCACATTGATCCTAGAGTCATTAATAAAAAACGCTATCATATATTAAACGTAAAAATTCACTAATCTTTCTTCAGTTGTTTTGCTGTCGTTACACACGTTAGCAATTCGTTACTAGTGGAAGCAGCGAGAGGTTTGTGGTCAGAGCAGAGCAGTCCAGGGTGGCGCCAATGTTCTCTTCCAGGGGCCGTGGCGCCACCCTGACACGTATTTTAAAGACACGAGGTTCATTTAGAAGTAAATCGTAAAGTTGTCCCTGTACCTAAATAACTGAACAGTATGCCATGAAGGCGTATGGGGAAGTTGTACTCGTAGAGCTCCGGCTGCTTTACCCACTGGGAAAGACACCTCGTTAACCATTTAATAAGAGACTGGGTGGACCCCAGAACCAGTCTGGAGACTATATTTGAGAACAATATTTTCCTTACCGGAAAACGAACACTGACTGTCAAGCTGATAACCCATTGACTCCTACATGAAGTTATTATTATACCGGCTCTGGCCTGCTACATGCTGGCCCATCTCCACAGACCCTTCGCCTCTCCTGTCTATTGATTTCGAATGTGGTCTACTTTCCATCTCTTCCTGTTCTTATTTAGCTGGGTGTTTTCGTCTGGTGGCTCAGTCTGCAGCCACCTGCTCACGCTAGTTTCTAGCTAGTGGATTTTCCTTCTTTCTTCTACCCTTAAGATGGAGGCGATACAATATCTACACGGCGCCACATCCCAGAAGACGGCATTCTATTATGCGTTGTTTAGTTCAGATCTTTACAGTGGATGCATCGGCTTCTGTAAGCATTTCGCGAGCTATCTGTAGCCCAGCTCTGCAATACAAAGTTTGCAGCAGTCATTTAGTAACGAGGCCTGCTTCATATCTCGATTTATACCGCTTTCTTTTAACCTGGTCCTGCGTACTGGACCGCCATGTTATTTTTTATTTTAGGAATAGACATCTGAGGTAAAGATAAAATTATCCCTGAGCTTAATTATGACACCATGAAAATGTAAGGGGGGCGTGAAGGTATAAATCCGAATATTATTTTCTTCGGCAATAGACGGAGGTGAGCTTTAAACCTGAAAAAAAAGGCGAAACTTCTTGTTGGATACGGAGGTCGGTGAGTTATCAGAATCGGTCTGGTATTCTGTACAAGAAAAATGACTACATATCCGCCGAGAATCGAACCATGATTCTTCGGTTGTCGACTCCGTAGTCATTGCGCCGACAGAACTCTCCATTTCTTTTCAATTTTTATCTTAACATGAACGTATCTGAGTTCCCAGGACGTTTTAAGTTATTGTGTTTAGGTTCTTTGACTTTTTTTTATTTACAATTTCCCTTTGAAATTTCAACATGCTTTATGATGTTGGGTTCACACTCAAATACGGCACTGAGTTCCGGTACCCGGTAAATATGCAAATGTTTGAGATTGTGTAAACGAGAATTCTTTTTTATGCATTGCGGTAAACATTTATGGACGAACACGGTGAAACAGATGGTGGAGAAAATTAGCTATGAAAACGAACTACAAAGCATAGTGAGCAAAGAGATGAAAAAGGAGTGGGGGAAGGTACGGAAATAATGGTAATAAAGGCGACGTAACAGTGAATAGAATAACAAACAATACAATAATTCTGCTGGCCGTGATGACGGTAATGTTTCTTTTCTATCCTTCCCATATATTTTTTCTCCTACTTCTCACGTTCCCAAACACACACACACACACACACAGAAAAATAAGCCTTTAAAATAGAAACTTCCATCACGAGCGTAAAAGGAACCCAGTGATATAGTAGTGCAAGAAAGAAGCCGCCATTACATACTTCTCTCAGAGGCAAAGAGTGACACCCGTTGTGGCATGTGACAGTCTGACCAATGGGCATATGTTGTGGTTGTGTTTGCACTGAATTCATTGCTACAGTCAGCTACTGGTATAAATCTCTGTAACACTGCAAATACCCTCAATCATCCCTTTCTTTTGTCCTATTTAAATTCATGTGCAGCTAAAGGTAAATACGTCCCTGAACTTATGTAAATATTTTAAACACTGATTGCACAGTTATGCGGACCAACACATGGAAGAAATCTTCATTGGTTGCATCCTGTTGTGTGTTTCAGATATATATACGTGTATATATATATCATGTTTCGATGCAAGACCATCACCAGGCAGTTATACACAGGAATACGTACAGTGATTGAAAAACCGATATGGACACTTATCAGTGCAACGCGTCGTGTTATATACTGATATACATCTTTTGCCTCAAGTTGATGTTACAATTAAAGTAGCAAAACATAAATAAGATAAAAGATAAATATAAAGGTATATCATATATCAAAATTTTATAATGTGTTGAATATATTATTGAAAATATAAAAGTATATTAAAAATGTTTAAAAAATATTAAAGGTTTTCCGATTGTAGATTAAGAATTTGTATGCCAACTTAAATAGGTTTCACTGCTACAGTGTAGAAGAATTGGGTATATATGTTGTTGTAGGTCTTTGTCTTTGGGATTTACAACCGGGTTTACTATGTAGAAAGCTTCTACAACAAAGACTAGTGCAGACAACACCACACGTTGCTAGAGGGAACAACACACAAGCAAGAGGCATATTGCAGACGTAGCAAAACAACGGGCCAATGAACTGGAAATGAAGTTGCTGAAACAAACTTTCTGAATAAACACATAACTCTAAACAAGTGAACGATGTCCCTTATGAGGTGGAATGGAATCTTACGAATAATTTTAATAGAAAATTTAATGGATTTTAAGTAATTATTTATCTTACTTTTAAGTGGACTGCAACGTGCGATTTTAGCGCATTTCAGAACAGCGTAAGAGTTGGACGCATTAAGACACCTGAAGATGGCCATCTATGGCCGAAACATGTTGTATTAAGTGTTAAGTGGTGAATAAATAATTATTGCATTATAGACGGACTGTGGATATATAGACGTTTGGTTAAATTTGCAACAGGATGCTGAAAAACAGAAGTACTAATGTCAAACACTTGTAAACATTTTCATACCACGTGAAGAAAGAAGTAGCTCCAGAGATATTGTGGTCCGGAACAAAATACGGACAGTACATAACCTCTAAACTTTATAAATCAAATAATTGTTATTAAATACTGTTAGAAATCTTTACACTTGGGTTACTCACCTATTGTTGTGAGTACTGTCAGAGAATAGAGAAACGCCCTGGCGAAATTCCATTCGTAAGGCGACGATGTTGACCGCCTTTCCTGCATCTGCTGATCCCTTCCGCTACCAGAAGATGCCGCCCCTCGCTGCTGTATCGCCATTTCCTCGGCCAGCCTCTGCACGAGCTGATCTTGAAATCTTGATATCTCTTGTGCAGCCAATCGAGTCCAATTATCCCGATACAGAATATTTAATGATACTGTGATATCCCAGATATTTTCAACCGTCCTCGCACGTGACTCATCAGCCACACGCTTCAACCACGATGACGTCGATACAGCAGGATCTTGTGACGAGTTTTGACCTTGAGGTCTCCTCTGAGTATCGACATTTGAAGTCACTGCGGTTAATGAGGTTGAGGGTCTGTGATAATTCCCGTTAGTACTACCACTTCCACCGCCTTCTATAGCTAGAAACACAAAGGATCCCAGCAAAGTATATCCCACTAACAAAGCACATATTCCTAAATTACTGAACACACCCTGGGCACAACCACTATCGTTCTTTCGAAAACACAGACAACGGCCACTGGGACGCGGGTTTTGATTCAACTGTTCATTTCTCTTGAGAGACGCAGTCTTGTTATTATTCTTCTGCGGGTGAGACTGTTGTTGGTATGGTTCATAACGGTAATGCCTTCCTGCTGACTTCTCCATAGTCCAGAAGTAGCAGTTTCCTTCTGTTAAAAATGTTACTAATATTCCAGAACAAGATAACAGCACGTTGATTGCGATACGAAACTTATGTGGATAAAAATACCACAGAGAATAAAATAATACACGAACATGTTAATGTATATATATAAACATCGAGCCATAAGAACGAAATATTTACATATAATTCCCGTTGCTAGTTTCAACAACTTTAATGTACTAGCTGTATTAACACGTTATGTCTGATTTATATTTTATATTTATAAGTTACTTTTCGTAAAACATTACATTACATGTAATAAATCATCTCTGTTTGGGAGATCAGACAATAAACAGTTTCTGAACAGAATTTCGCTTTCTACTGGTCATGACACTGACCTCAGTCAGAAGAATGCACTTGGTAACACTGTGATGACATTCATCTAAGAAATTGTGAGCAAAAATTAAAAATGGAACGAGACATGTTCAACCAAAATCTTCCGCTTCTGCCATTTCAATGATGTTCAGAGTTTAAAGGGCACGTGTTCAGTCTTCACTCCTACCTTTCATTCTTCCTTTCCCCTTCTTCTCTTATCCAAATGAAGGAAAATCTTGAGCAAATTGAGCAACAAACTTTGATTGGCGATGGCTTCAGAGTCACCTGCAACAGAGACAAAGGGGGACATGATTAAGACAAGCAGGTGATTCAGAGCCGGTGCTTTGTGTTTCTCACAGCACAAGAAAATTTGTATCTTGTCTCTTTACTAAGAAACCACAACACATTGTTATGACTTCCTCTGTTTTGTGGGTCTGTTATTTTTCTGTCATAAACTTACCGTATTTTTTTATTGCTAGTGGGGTGGGACTAAGTCCCTTGTACTGCGGCAACTTCTGGCCTATTGTACCAGCCCCAGATGATAGGTGAGGGTAATTGTGGAGCAATTGTTAAAATGAAGATTGGCAGGGGAAACCGAAGTACTCGGAGAAAACCTGACTGAGAGCCACTTTGTCCACCACAAATCCAAGTTGACCAGACCCGGGATCGAACCCGGGCCGACGCGATGGGATGAACTTACCCTAACAAGGGCTATGAAAAGGGAGAAAACTGCAAAATCTAAGCAAGGATAATCAAGTGTCTGTGAAGTATTGATGAAAGGACAAGACTAGTTTGATGTAATAAAATTTGGGATTCAAAATTTTGTTCATGTAGTTAGAAGGGAAATGTCGACAACAGTTTGGTGACGTTAAAGAAATTAATAAACATACCAACTTCATTACCGAGAGCCCCGTCATCATTTTGTTAAGGTGAGAAAAGGTATGTCTTCCAGGATGTAAAGGAGTGTAATTCATGGAAAGTCAATCAACGTTTCGGAGAAATATGTCGATTCAGTCTTCATGTTTTAAAAGTAAACCAAAGAAGAAACCACCATGAAGTAGCCAACAAGAGGATTATCTTGATTTCTCCCAGACTACACGGTGTTATATCCCATAGTCACCGCTGTGAGGATCTCAAATCCATCCTTAATCCGTGTTTATCTTTAAAACGAAAAAGGGAAACAGTAAATAAACTATTTTCTGTTTTATTTCTCAACTTAACTTAAAGCTGTCATGAGATACTTTTGCGGCATACTGTAGATCCATTCAACCGCCCCTGCAGTAGCGTGTAACAAGTCAGAAGTCATTATCCACAATTTCTTGTCGCGTATCAGCAACTATGATAACAAAGAAGGGACAATTAAGTATGCTAAATCTGCTGGCTTAGAAGAGAGTCTTTTGAATTTCATCGTGTCAAACCTAATTTCGTTTAACCAAACAATGAACGTGAGATATTCCACGTTAGAAAACTTCCTCCAGCGAACCCCAGATTCCCTTACAGCCAGTCAGCATACAACACTGAACTAGCAGTGTATCCTCACACCACGTGATTGCATTCTCTGGAGGTGTCGCCTATCCAGAGGGGCGGTTAAGTCCCGGAGTCATATCCACAGAGAGGGGAGGGGGAATGATCAAATGTTACTTGGAAAGGTTATAGGGGTGGGGGTGTGTGCAGAAGGGTAGAGCCTTCTCTTTATTAGTCTCCGAAATTAAACTCGTGAATGAAGCAAGTTTAGTTCCACCAACTTTCTCTGTGGACGGAGGTACAGAGGCATATACAAAAAGGGAGCATCTCTTTTAATCACCCCATATCGCACGTGCTGAAATTCTTATCATTTCTAGTCTCCACCCCTGTTTCTCTTACGCATTCCTCTTTCTTCGCACACCTCATTATGGACAAGATAAATTTAAGAGAATATGAGGAGATTAACTGAGGACCCAGCACTCCTTTCTTATTAGACAGAGAAGTAAATTATTTGGCTGAATATAAAGATCACTATTGTCTTCTGAGATGGACGCCGTGTAGACTGGTAATCTTTAACAACTTTTATGAGAAATACTTTGCCTCCAACCTCACAGTATGAAGACATGCCTATTTAATTATAGAATATAAATGAACACAGCTCAGTGTGATTCAGTTTGCAGATATAATGAATTACATTCGACAGCGTTAACAATTATTCTTATTCTTATAATCGACCTTACTAGTGTGACAGACCAGAATGAATAGAGTTACATGTCTATTTATTTATTTCTTGTTTATTTTAATACACTGTAAGTGTATTTCACTATACAGTGTTAAATTGTAACACTGATGAATAATGAATTTGTCAAGATTTTGAAGGAAACGACTGCCAACTAATGGAGGTACCATACCGGTCTTTGCCTGAGGGACTGAGTAAAACCATGAATAACAGCCGTTGTACTGAATGAGCTTCGAACCGAACGCAAGTCTATACCAGCCTTCTCGCGGAGAAAAATACGTACTTATATACAGGTAAAGTTGTCCCTGTGCTTAACTAATTAAGCACTACACTTTGAAGACGTATGAGGGAATGGATGTATAGATCCACACATTTTTGAACTCGACACTAGCTGGAGGTGAGTGACCAGAAACGTAAAAATAACCCTGTAAGAGGCCGTCCAGAACCATAGGGCTGTGAGACGTCGAGGCTCCCATATTTTCTAGACAATCGGCTCACAGATGGCAATAAAGTTGTCAGTCTTACGCGCCGGTCACCCTTTGCCCTTAGGAAGATTCCTGGTACTCATTACTGTTAGATGCTGAGTACATCCCAGGGCCACTGTGCGGCTGGAGGGATTAGGTCAATTGAAAAATCCAATGACCTTATCGGGAATCGAACCCGCGACCTTCCGTGTTGTAGAATGGTACCTCAACCAAATATGCTACAGCGTTCCCCTTGAAATATTAGTAAATATTTTATAAAATTTACATTGTAAAACAGCTTGTAGTCTAGTCTAAAATAAGAGCATAGCTAATGATAACAATTAAGAGATACGAGTAGCAAAGAATAAGTTTATATTGGAAGAGTGGGACCAGTTGAAGAAGAGTGAACATTTTCCTTCTCGCACATGCGCTATCTACAATTTCAGATCTGGAGTTAATTTCCGATACACTTCTCCTTCCACTTCCTGTTCGGGCCTTCCTTGTAATCAAGTGAACTGGTCCTCTTCCAACTGAGTGACTGCTGATACGAGCACATCTGTGACCTGCCTGTGGTCAGTAACGCCATCTGGGACCAGGCTAAGGAAATGAGAAGGAAATTTGAGTGCAAATAAATTTTTTTCAAGAATTTTAAACTCACTGAAGTCCGTCGGAGTAAGGCAGCCGAGAAACATGACTGTAGCCTTGACGAAGGTCAAAGCGGACCCATAATCGAACCGAACATCATACAGTCATGAATAATTCTGAAATGTCAACATTTTTTATATAGTTTTTTTTAATGACGACAATTGAGAGACTATGATGGCACACAACCGACCTGCAGTTCCAGTAGGGTGTACAGCCGTTACTATGCAACGACCTCGAGATAGGAAAGAAAAGAGTACCAGAGCCTTTTCTAAACAACGGCTAGCTAAACACGTTCCCGCGTCAACGGACACTAATACAAAAATATGGCTATTGTTGGAAACCGTGTTTTATTCTGGGTCCGTGCGAATGGCTTATAAGGAGAAAGTTCTGCTTCAATTGTCTATTCCTGTTCATAACTACTACCAAATTTGATTACTAATGAAAATAAGCAACTACAGAATTATAAGAAGATTCTAAGGGGTTCTAACGATGAAGTATATCACACAGAATTACTTGGTTTTGGACGATGGAGAAACATCAAAAAATCCAATAATACTGTATAGAATGAGAAGAGTTTTTGCCATATTATGGTCCTTGTTCTTAAATACTTCAAACTCGGTAGTTGATAAATTTGCGTGATAAATGAATATAAATTCTGAGTCCGTGGATAAAATTATACCTTTAGTATATTTCAGCTCATTGAGCGAGAAACTCGTCTACTTGTTGGTTGTGCCGCTTAATAACAGGGTTACACGCACGCAGGAGCAGCGAAACCGTACGCTTTCTTTCTTCGGAAAGGAAAGAGACAACATTTCGGTTAACCAGTCTCTTGGTGTCAAGTCAGTCTTTGCCTCAGTTTAAAGTAATTATTTGGCTCTCAGAGTTAATAATGGAGAAAACAAAATTTGTTTTCCAGTTGCTAGTCACCGGGAATATTCTAATTTAACTTCACTCTTTTAAAGATAAAACCAAATTTTGGCCAAAGAAGACAGTTCCTCACTCGCTCCTCACCTCTACGCAGTTGTGCCCTAACTTTATACAGAGTTGTTACAAACAAGCTTTACACTACACTTTCAAACATTAAAAATTAGCGAAGAGATATACATAAGTGAAATTTGTATTATTAGTAAGATGTGCTCCCAAAGATTCCTCGAGAGTCCACTTAACTCTAAATTTTTTCGCTAGACGTCATGCATGCTGTTGTGTCAATCAGATGGTCCCGAAATAAGTACTAAATTTGACGTATTCACTTGAAGACGGAGGCAGAGTTCAGTACCCAAACATCGTTTTGAACGAAAACAGAAAAATGGTTAGCGTAAAAAATCAATGATTGGATAAGTTATACAGTTACGTCAGTCTGACAATGAGAAAAAAAGACAGAAACACAATTCTCATAAGAAGTAACGTATTATGCTAAATCGAACACAACCGAAATAAAAAAAACTACAACTCCATCTAGTGTATATTAAGTGGGAAAATTTGTTTTTCTTGTGTTGGCACCATAAAGAATATTTCACCTCTCCAGTGATAATTTCTAGCTTGTTAGTTAACTGGTGACAGGCCTCATAGGTGTAGTTCTTTTTAATAACTTAATATTTTCTTAGCTCTCGCAGATGGTTTGTGCTGTGCTTTGCTTCTATACACCATCTTGGCTCTGGTCCAGGTGTCCGGAATAGGGACTATTTCTGTCGATTAAGCTATAATAAGTAGGTTTTACCTGAACACGGAGACACAACCCAGTCACCGAAACGTTATGTTTTGTAATATAAATATTATGGAGTTTTTAGATAAATACAGGGTGATAGATAATGTCCAAAAACATAATATTTGTACATTTTTAAGTTTGAAATCTCAGAACCTCTTTCAGAACGACTTATCTTTCCTTCCAGAATTCACGGACCGTTCAATACCTAATTTCTTTGACCATCATGTTGATAAACGTAGATTCACTGAAGTATCCGATGCAGT